CCCAGCCAGGATCGAACTGACGACCTTCGCGTTATTAGCACGACGCTCTAACCAACTGAGCTATGGGGCCTCCGTGAGAAAGCGCCTCACACTTTTCCCAAATGTCCCCTCTGCGGTTCCCGATACACGACCCCGCCCGTTGGCCCCCTCCCCCGCCCAAAGGAAGTGCCCAAGGCTCCGACCTTGCCCTTCCTGCGAAGTGTCCCCCCGGCGCTTCCGGTACCTGCTCCCGGGAAAATAACTATAAATATATGCACAGCGTCCGCCGCCCCGCCTCCGGAGCCCGGACGGCCTCTGCGACGCCATCCGATGGCCGCCACACGCGCACCGGGCCCCCCCTGCCGACGCGGCTTACCCCCGGGTCCCCTCCAGGTCACCTCTCGCTGCCGCCGCCGCCGCCGTCGCCGCCGCCGCCGCCGCCCTGCCACTTTCGCCCCTCACACCCGAAGCCTGCTCCCGAAACGGGAAGACGCGAAAAAAGTCGCGGAGACACAAAAGGGAGCCCGCACCCAAGGGACCAAAAGATATTCCCATACCGGGACTCGAACCCGGGTCTCGTGGGTGAGAGCCACGTATCCTAACCACCTAGACTATATGGGAAGCGAATAGATATCCCTGCTCCCGGGTGTTTCATCAATCTTGCCCACGCGTTCCTCCTCCCAGAGGTCCGCATCATAAAACCAAACAAGCATACACAACAACGCCATCGGCGAAGAGACAAAACACAGAGGGGCGGCCACGGAGAGACATCCGCCGCCCGGAACGCGGGAGCATCGACCACGCGCCCGGCACACCAAAAGCGAGGCCTTTCCCCCGCCCGGCGGGGCGCAAGGGTCCCTTGCCAGTCAAAAAGAAGGCAGATGCATCACCGGCAGGATTTGAACCTACGCGGGCAGAGCCCATCCGATTTCTAATCGGACTCCTTAACCACTCGGACACGGTGATATACACTGAGGCACTCCCCTCGGGCCTATATTTTATCTGTCTTGAGGATGTGCCCAGTTTCGGACCGGCATCCTCCCACACCCCCATACCCGGCCCGGCCTCCCTCCGGCCGCAACCCTCCACACCAGTGCACAGGCCCACAGGCGCTCGGTGATCCCCCAATCGGGTCCTCCTCCTTCACGCACGGGCCCGCCAAGGCCCCCTCCTCGCCCCGGTCCTTCGGACATGCCGCCTGGGTGACCCTGGTAAAAGTATCTGACCAAACTCCGCCACTCACTCGGGGAATAGGGCGTGTATATTAGGGCCAAGAGATCGAGGGGCCCACAACAAGGGGCATGGGCGGACACCGAGCCAAAAGCGCCCCGGCCCGGGCGAGCCTCACGCCATGGCGGTAATCACCGTGGCAGACACTCGCCGGGGCTTTGCGGATCGGCGCGGCAACCGGCGCCACCCACGCACCCACACGCAGCCGCAGGGGCAGAAACAGGGCCAGAAGCCGAACAACAGGCTTAGGATGGGATAATGACATTTTCGGGTGTTGGAATAGCAGATCCCAGGGCGTACTCAGAATCTTACCAGATCCCGGCAGACCGTCGGCGGGCGACAGAGCGCGGGGAGCTGGCAGGAAAAAAAAAAGCCACACCGGGCACCCAGGAAAGTCGCCGGAATCCCGGACCCCGCACCTCGGGCTTCCACCGAGCCCGGGGGAAGCGCACAGGAGAGGGAGGCCCACAATGTCCCCCACACTCGGAGGGCCAAACCCAGCCGGCGGCTGACTCATGCTTGCGCCTGGCATTCGGCCGCGAGGCTGGCCAGTTTCGGGCGCCGCATCGGCTCCAGGTGCCACATGCCGGGAAGAGTGGCCAAGGCCCAAGCCACCAGGGCGTCACCGGTGTCAGCCACCGGCGGGGAGCCGTGCGAGCTGGGCAGCTGGCCACCAACCACACTGGCCACCACGGAGTCCTGGCTGAGGCCTGAAGTCCGACCGACCGGCCCAGGACACGGGCGAGAGGGGGGGGGGGGGGAGAGCAGCACACACGGGAAAGGGACAGACACAGTCAGCTCACGGCTCGGCCCCCCCAGGGGGGGGGGGAGGGGAACACACGGCACATCGGCGGGTCACGGCAAGCAGGCAGTCGGAGGCAGCATTCAAAACATACCGGTCCACGGGCGCTCATGCGTCAGCACATGCCACACGACCGAGCCCAGGGAATAGACGTCGGCCGCCATGTGGTCAATGGCCAGCAGGGCGACGGACGGCTGGCCGAAGGTCCGCAGGATCTGCCACGGCGGGAAGGACAGCGTCAATGGATGTGCCAAACAACCGCGGCCGAATGGCAGGTGAGGAGGACCGCAAATCGAGGTGGCGGAAGGAAGGGAAGGGAAATCAACCGGAGAAGGGCAAGAAAGCAAGAGGCGCCCGGCC